CCTAAAAACTGAAGCGAAAAAAACGTTTGCGAGTTTATTTAAAAAATGTCTAAACGATTTTTGACGTAATCGTGGACCTGAAAACATGCAGATTTACTAAAAGGAAGATTTTCCGAGCTTCAGCCATGAAAATCCATTATTTTAATAATGGATCATCTGAAATAAACCCAAATGCTATTAGATGAAATAAATGCACAAAATTAAAGGATCTCATGATTCATGATTGTTACTAGATGTGCTGCCGTGATAATTCAAATACCATATTTAATTCCTTCCTTCAGCGTCTGTAGGTTAAATTATCGGTAAGAGAAAGGTCGATACAATCCTTTTTTGAATCAGATAAATTACATAGAAATTGAGATAAATTTGACGAGTTTTCAAATGGGTGCCTAGCACGCCTACAGTAATATTAATATGCATGTTCTCCTGTATTAATTTCTAGTTTGACCTATTTTCATCCTCGGCGAACGCGGGCGGAAGTATTATACGTTATTTTAATTTACAATGTCGTATATAATTACATAAACTATATTTTCTCGTTACTATCTCGTCCAGCATCTTCACAATAATTATAGCTGCGTGAACATACACCGCTCGACAAAATCGGAGGCACATTCGATACGAGAAAATGTTGATCTACTGCATCGGTAGGCTTCACGTTTGGTTGTAAAATATCCGTACTACATAATTTTTAGGAGGATATTAACAAAAATATTACTGTCCTGGAGAGAGTTTAAAAAACCTTTTTTAACCGTTAAAAATACTAGCTAACATTGCAACAAGATAATTCCTTTCATTTGTAAGTAATAAATAATAGTTTAAGGGCCAATTTCACCAACATTAATATCACTGATCAACAGCCAAAAAATATCCTAAATAAAATCAACGAAATATTACTATTTTTAATGTGCTAAAACCGGAATGAAACTTATTTTTTCAATATTAGTTCAAGTTTTAGAGATACGGTAATTATATGTGTTCCTGCTGTGACAGTGTTAATATACTGTAATTCACAAGAATGCACGTGCTACATTTTTATATTCGGCAAGGAAAGATGATGTAATCGGCATGATTATGTTACGTTATACATATCAGCTTTATTTCGGTTATAAACTAGGTGATCAAGACAAACAGTGGGCACCCCACATCTGCTGTAATACATGTGCTTCAAGTCTGAGGAGCTGGTTAAATGGCAAAAAACGGTCTATACACTTTGCTGTCCCAATGGTTTGGAGAGAGCCTACAAATCATATTAATGATTGTTCCTTTTGCATGGTACCTTGTGTTGGACAAGCCACAGGTATGTCCAAGAAAAAAAAATCTGTTATTAACTACCCAAACATACCATCTGCGATGAGACCTGTGCCTCACAGTGACGAAAATCCTATTCCAAAACCCCCAGAATCCTACAGTTGCGAATCAGAAAACGAATCAGATCATGGCGATCGAGTGATTCGTCAGGAAGAAGATATGCCACCAACGTCAAGAGATCCTGATTTTATACCGAGCACGTCATGCCACCAACCGCACAAAATAACACAGTCAAAATTAAATGATCTTGTAAGAGATTTAGAACTTCCAAAATGTAAGGCAGAGTTGCTTGGATCAAGATTGCAGCAGTGGAACTTGTTAGAAGACGATGTTTCGGTATGTGTTTTTCGTAAACGCCACAAAGACTTGGAACCATTTTTCAATATGGAGAATAACTTGGTTTTCTGCAGTAACATTAAGGGCTTACTGGCGGCTTTAAATATAAACTATAACCCAGAAGAATGGAGATTGTTTATAGACAGTTCAACATTGAGTTTAAAGGCAGTGTTATTGCATATTGGAAATATTTTACCATCTCTTCCTGTAGGGTATGCAGTTCACATGAAAGAATCATAAATATGATAATATGAAGTACCTATTGACATGCATAAAATACGATGAGCACCAATGGCATATTTGTGGCGATTTAAAAGTTGTTGCACTTTTACTTGGACTGCAGCTAGGCTAGACAAAGTTTTGCTGTTTTTTGTGTGAATGGGACAGTCGGGCAAAGGCACTTCATTACACCAGACAAAACTGGCCTGTTCGTCAATTCCTAGAGACAGGTCAAAAAAATGTACAGCATATGCCATTAGTAGATTCGAAAAAAATTTTATTACCACCACTGCATATCAAGTTGGGCCTAATGAAAAACTTTGTCAAGGCATAAGATAGAGATGGGTCAGCTTTTCAATACCTGCGTCAGAAATTTCCAAGACTAAGTGAGGCAAAGGTTAAAGAAGGTATTTTTGTTGGGCCACAGATTCGAAATATTTTGAAAGATATACAGTTTGAAAACACTTTAACAGGTATTGAAAAAACTGCTTGGGAAATAGAAAAGCTGTCAACTATAAAACCCTTGTCAAAAATATGCTGTCATCGTATCAAAAGATGGGCTGTAATATGTCTCTTAAGATACATTTCCTACACTCATACCTGGACTTTTTTCCTGACAATTGCGGAGCCGTAAGTGATGAGCACGGCGAACGTTTTCATCAGGATATTTCAACAATGGAAAAAAGGTATCAGGGAAAGTGGAATCCTTCCATGCTTGTAGACTACTGTTGGACTCTTGGTAGAGATGCTCCAGAAACGATCCATAAAAGAACAGCAAAAAGACAGCGCATATAGTGATTCTTATAAGTATATGAATCTTGTTACTTTTTTTAATATATCCTCAAAAATAAAAAGTTTTTTCTAAACCGCAACTAATTTTTTTATTTCATTGCCATTTTTGGATTCAGCGCCCCAAAATTAACAAAGAAGTGCACTTTTCCCACAAGATACAATTAAAAAACTAAAATTTGTTGTCCAGTGATTTAACGGTCACTTGGACCAATAGGAAGCTGTCAAAGCCCTCTGAATATCAGTGACTCCTATTGAAATGTTAAATAAAGTCGTGAAAAAACGGTCGCCTTATAAATAAGGGTACATTATAGATGTAATATTATGTCTTTGTGCTTTAGAATTAGGATAACTTTCATAGAATTTCAATTTTTTATCATTTCATCAGTTATTTAAATGGACCAATGAAAATGAGAGAAATAATAGGGCGATTCTCTAGCTGTTATATTTGTTAGGATGTTTTCACTGTTTTTGACGACTGTTCATGGATGGCAATCTAGTTTTGTCTGTATATCACGTACAGGGCGTTGTAAATAATACGTACCTGTAGAAATGTACATATGAAATGAACAAATATTAAATAGAAACATGAATTTTATTCAAAAATCGAACACTTTTTTAAATTTTGGCTAAATTATATGTAATTTCGTAATGTTCAATAAGCTGGTGATGTTTCAGTGACAAGCTGTCATCTCATACTTGACAGTATTTTGTTTTCAACATTTCATAGCTATTGGTTGCTAAAATTTGTTGATTGGAACTTGAAGCTCATTCGCTGTATTTGACGGACTCTTACCCTATAGGTGGAGAATAACGGACTGTTGATTTGACAATCCTGGTAAAATCCACCCTAAAGAAACTAAAAAAACACGCTGTTATAGATAACCGAACTAATAAGTAGAAATGAATCATCCTTATAATAAATTAGAAGCTTGTTTCATTTCGTCATACAGGGTAGCGTTGCGCCAGATTTCAAGGTCACTGTTGCGTATTTTGTCGGTCAGTGTATTTTTAGTCACCACTTTCAGCCTTGCTCACGTAGGCCTCCTGTTTGTTCGAGCAAATCCTTGCCGCATTTCATCATGGTGGGTAGCGTAGTCCCAGATTCAAAATTCGACGTGGAAATTGGGTAGTTTGGCGTGCAGTGTATATAAGCAGCTCCGTGGATCATCCTAATCATCAATTGCAAGCGTTATGTATTTCGTCGTGATGGGTAGCGTTACGCCAGGTTTCAGGCTCAGTATTGTGTATTTTGTCGATCCGTGTATTTGGAGTTATCACATCCAGCCTGCCTTTTAGAGTTACCCATGCTGGCCACCTATTTGAACGCATTTCATCATGGTGGGTGGAGTCATGAAAGATTTAAAATTCAACGTGGAAATTGAGTCTTTTGGCGGGCAGTGTATGTGGAGTCCCCTCTGTCAGTCCGCCTTTTTGACCTTGCGTACCTGGCCGGGCATACGTAAATTGCGGTTTGGAAAAAAAACAGACACGTGCATGGAAGCAGCTTCTCATCCTCATTTAGAAACTTGCGACTTGAATATTCATATCGCGTATTCTCTACTTGACGACCATTGACGAACGATTTTTTTTTTGTCTGGCGGTGACGGAGCATCACAGGGCTGCGCCGCACCGAGCTGAAGATGAATCGGGACTTTTCGTTCTTCGGAGCACCAGCGAAAATGTGGAGGAGACATCTTTAATGCGAGTGTTAATAATGATATTCGGGTATTTTGGAAATGTTCATAAACAATGGCTTTCTTAACTGCTTTAATAATATTGTTAAATTAAACTTCTTTGAAACGTGACTTTCTAAACGTCAGCAAGTGCCGCACTTGGAAAATCAATACTATAATCCAGAGTTCCCCAAACTTTTTTGTGTCGTAGACCCCTTGCCATGTCTTTCCGTGTTGGGTACTTACCTGATATTGATTTCCTGTAAATTTCTAACTGTAGTGAAGTTTAGTTTTAAAAACTTAAAGTAAAAACACATGTTAATTTATACATTTATTAATTGAATTTAAATTAAAACTACTCAAAATAAAATTTTGTATCTGTTATGTAAAATATACGTAACATTAAATAAACAGGAGTCTGACTAATAAGTGCCCGCATTGGGAATAAGTGCCCGCATTGAAAAAAAAAATAAGAGGGATAAAATAAAAAAAAGTGAAAAATAATAAAAAAGTTTTTTACTTAAAATAGTACAATAAGCGAGTTCGTTTATTAATTATAACATAAACGTATGTTCTACAATAATTTCACTGTTAGTTTGATTCAATTCCGCTTCTTATACGTTTAAGTTATCTAAAAGTAGGCAAAAAACTAACGAATTTTAGTGTGTACCTATCCTTGAATTTTCAGAATAATTTAAAAAAAAATATTTTCTATAAAGGGGGGTTCTTTAAAAAAATGGATGCGAGCGCTTATTCCCAATGCGGGCATTTATTGGTCAGGCACCAATAAACATAAAATAAACTATAAATAAAATAACATAAGCAATAAGTCAATATTTTTAGTGAGAAGGATGAACCTGATGCTTTAATAATAAATTATCAACATTTGGCGTCAATTTTGTAAGGGTTAATCTTAAATCTCCTCGGCTAATGATGTCCAGTCTGTTTCTTTTTTTCGTTAGGAGATTGGTAACAGCGCTGAACCCCCTTTCCACTAGGTATGACGATGGAAAGGAAATTAAAAATTTTCTCGCTATATTCCATAATACGGGATAAGTAACGGGTATGTTGTTTTGCAGCCAGAATTGCTGATATCCGTTTTTAAACTGAACCTTAAGTTCTTCGTTTGTACTTAGTTCAGTCAGTTCCTCTTGTATTATGACATTCGTTTCTTCTATGTCACCATATGGATTAATTATCCACGGTGGTATTACCATAGTCAAAATATCCTCAAACCTAGATTCAAAATCTGAATAGAGGGCATTTAAATGTTGAACGTCGTCTTCCTGGCAGCTTGTCTGTGACAAATTGGGGAACTGAGAAAATTCGCCCCGTCCAATATTTTGCTTCATTAGTTTAACTCTGGCAGAAAACGCTGATAAGATGGACTTTGTTTTAATCAAATATAAACTGTCGCCTTGTAATTGCAAATTAACCATATTAAATTTTGTAAACAAATCTGTTAAATAGGCGATGTATGTTTTCTTCTTCATTAAATTTTCTTATAAAATTTTATCTTTAGTATCCAGAAATTCTAAAATAGTCTCAAAAAGTGTAAAGAATCTTGTCAAACATAAGCCTTTCGACAGCCAGCGTACTTCAGTGTGAAGGAGTAATTGATGAAAGTGTTCGTCATTTTCTTCACACAACTACGCAAATAACCGCGTATTCAACGCGTTGCTTCGGATTCGGTTTACTGCATCAATGACTAAATGAAGTGATTCATGCAATCTAACACTCAAATTTTTAGCAACTAAATGTTGTCGATGGATGACGCAATGTATTGTTAACACCCCTGACACATTTTGTTTTAAATAGCTTATAAATCCACGATAATGTCCAACCATGGCAGGTGCTCCATTTGTAGCTACTGATATTATATCTGATAAAGGAATTGCTTTTTCAATGAAGTAATCCTTCAACACATGAAATATTGATTCACCTTTAGTGTCGGTTATCAAAGTTCTTGCGAAGAGCAGTTCTTCGTAGATTTCTTGATTCATAATAAAACGAACATATGCCAATAATAATGCTGCATTATCAGGTAAAGTTGACTCGTCCAGTTGTATAGAGAAATGGGTCGTTTGCAAATAATTACATAAGAAGCTTTCAATATCAGAACTCATTTCATCAATACGTGTTTCAACAGTATTGTTGCTTAAGGGAATTCTTTTAATGATATCAGATGCAGGTTTGTGTAAAAGTTTTTAAAACCTCTTCAACGGCTGGCAAAATTAACTTCTCTCCGATAGTATGCGGTTTTCCGGATTTTGCTATAAGTAACGAGATATTGTAAGACGCCCGCAAACCATTATCATTTCTTTGTAACGTCGAAGCGAACATTCTGTCCAGTGTAGGTCTCTTCTGAAATTTATCTTTGAGTGTTTGAAAGTATTTAAAATCTTTCTCTGTTTTATCAGGGTGGCATCTTCTCAGATGATCTTGAAGTTTAGATGGTTTCATAGCGTCATTACCCAAAACTTTGTTGCATAAAAGGCACATAGGCGATTGTTTGTCCGGCAATGATGGAATGAAGCCAAATGTCAAATAATCAACACTGTACCGTCTACATTTCTTTTTAGATTCGGACATGGCATCAGTCATCTGGGGGCAAAATTAAATTATTTAAATAAGACAGAAAATCCAGCAGCTGTATATTAGAAATATTTTTTGATTTTCCCGAAAACATTCCATAATTCGAACATCTTCTTGCAACAATTAGCTCGAATTACGGAGATTACACTGTAATTATATACCGATTGCTAAAACTTTCAACAAGAAACTATTGAGGAGTACTCGTGTAATTTTGCATGATTGAATATTTAACTACTAATAACTAAAGTCATGATTGGCGTAATTTATCTATCTTTGTTAACTACGAGTACAAAACTAAAATTTAATAAAAAATAATGTACTTACTTTTCTCCAGCACTCTCAAACAAAATAACACTGACTCACTATAATTTGTGTGATATACTATCTGTTTATGTCTTTTAAAATATTTTCTTAGCACTTTCCTTTTCAAGATTCAGGAAACGAATAAACGTATTTGTCCCACATTCGTATTTATAGAGTGATGAATTGAACAAGTCAGTGCAAGGTAGCGAAGCTCTGAGACTGCGACTCTCAGGTTTTTACAAGTTCACGACCACAAAGCGAATACCAACATCCTACAACTTACACAATTTTATAAACATATATAATAATTTTTTTACGTCATAGGTACTTTTATAAATAATGTATATGTTTTGATATTATAAGATGTATGATGTAAGTAAATAGGTACTACCAGTGTATGTGTTGAGATCCACTATCGTGGACCCCCATATTCATTTCATAGACCCCCAAATTTTTTTCGCCGACGTCGACCCCTTGCAGGTTGTCATAGACCCCTAGGGGTCGATATAGACCACTTTGGGAAACAATGCTCTAATCCCTAATCCTCGGCTTGTTACATCTGGTGTTCCTCAAGGCTCTGTGCTTGGACCGATATGGTTTTTACTATATAACTTTCGCCTTAAGCCTTTTAGCCCCGAATCTACACATCAAACAGTACGTGAAATTAATATGGATATTGAAGAAATTGTGAAATACTATTAAAATAATAACCTTAAATAAAATTCCGATAAATGTAATCTCATGCTGTTTTTGTTCTAATAGTCTCTCTCTCCCTCTTCTTTTGAATGGACCGTCACACGAGGAAATAGTAAATATTGAAACTGCTGATACAGCCTTTGAGTTAATAAAGAAAATTTCGTCATTGGATGCAGTATTTGGGACCAAGAAACTAAAGAAACAGAGCAAAATTGCTTCCGCAAAGCAGGATTTAAGCATGGAGATACGCAAAGTGAAGCCTAGTTAAATGAGACTGATGCACCTGACGCAGAAGACGACTTACCACTTAATCTACTTTCAGATATACTCAAAAACAAGACTTGAAATTGACTGATAATGAAGTCTTCATGATTTTTTGAACGTAGATGAAAGTTTGTATGTTGGAGATCCAGATTCAGGCCAAGAAATTGAAAATACAATTGAACCGAAGCTATTCCAAATTTTGTCAAGAATCATAAATTAGAAATACGAGTTCAAGATGCCATTTGAAAAAAAAGGAGGAAACAAGCGACAATATATCAATATTTGCGTCCTAAAAGTGTCCATCCAAAGGAAATTTCACTGTATACTTTATCTGAAGTCACTTGAAACACTGTGAAATACCGGGTGTGGTTCATATATCTATATTTAACACGCTCTGTTGCTGCAAAAATCGCCAAATTTCGCAGCAAATATATAAGATCAAAGGCAGTTTCACCGGTCCACGTGGAGTAAAGCACGCCTATGCGTGGACATAGCCAATGAGAAAGCGTGTATTTCAGAGCTCCGAACAAGTGCAGGTGGCTACTGAAAATTGAAACAGTTTAGTCAGTGCCGTGTAGCGGTGAATAAACGTGTCTGTCCGTGTTTTTTCATAGATTTTATTAGTTTGTGTGTTTTTGACTTTTGAATACTCAGTTTACTTGTTGATTTAATTGTTGTGTTGATTGTTCTTGTGTGTCCTAAATATGGCTCTTTGGAGACCTTGGGAAAATGCTTCAAGCCACGAGGAGATGGTTGATGAACCTGTGCAGGCAGAATTCTTTCATAAAGATTTAGAGGAACAGACCCAAAGAGTAATCCTAAATATGTATGATTGTCTGAAAAACGAAAATCCAGATTCCTCGCAAAATCAAATTTTAAACAGAATTTGTATCCTGACAAAAATCAGTCGGTCTACCATTTATCGGGTTATAAAAAGGGGAGATGTAGTCAACCATTCCTTCCACATAAAGCGCATAGGGCAAAAATTAAAAAGAATAGACGTGGGTTTTCAGGAAGATATTCGTCGTATAATATACGGATTTTATAAAGAAAATTTGGTGGCCACGTTGGAAATGATACGGGATAAATTAAAAGATTATCCTGAAGATTTTTATAATTACAAATGCTTAGACTCACTGCACTGTATTGTAAAACTGTGTGGTTTTCAATACAAAAAATTAGATAAAAGAATGGTGATTATGGAGTCGTCTCGAATCGTTGAATTGCGCCAAGAATTTTTGCACAAAGTTAAAATCTATAGAGAGCAGAAAAGAAATCTGATTTACCTGGATGAAACGTGGTATGATACCCATGATGTTGTGCAGTCCGGCTGGGTTGACGACAGCAACAAGTGCATTTTAAATGCACCATGCAACCGTGGAAAACGAATCATTATTCTCCATGCTGGCAGTGAAAATGGATTTATACCTAATGCCTTGCTGTTATCTGCCAAAAATATCAAAGAATCATGTGCCGACTATGAGGACATGACCTCCGACTTATTTGAAAAGTGGATAGAGCAGCAGTTAATACCAAACATTTTCCCAAATTCAGTGATTATTATGGACAGTGCGCCATACCATTCCCGACAGAAAAACAAAATTCCGAATACAGGCACAAAAAAACAAGACATTATTGATTTTATGAAGGATAAGGGAATGGAAATACCACAAAAATCAACCAAAGCCATATTATTGGATCTTATTAAAAGACAAAAATTTGAAAAAGAGTATGTTGTTGACAATCTGCTTCAGCAAAATGGACATGAAGTATTACGTCTACCTCCCTATTACTGCATTTTTAAGCCGATTGAGTTGATCTGGGCTGCTTTAAAAAAAAAAGTAAGAAAACATAATCAGACCCCTCAATTAAGTGAATCGCTATTGGCCAAAATATGAGATGCAGTATCTCATATTGCTGCCACAGACCTATGGAAGCAGTGTTCTAGGCATATTATTGAAAAAGAAAATGAATATTGTGTTTTGCCTCCTGTAAATCCCGTTGTAATTCCTCTACAAGATGACTCTAGCGACAGCTCCGAAGGCGAGGATGATATATAAATACCTATAATGTAAGTCTTTATATACCTTTTTATATACCTACCTGCTATGTAAATATTTGCCTATGTCAAACGTTGGAATTCTGTAATTTTTCCATTTCTTAACTTTCAGTCAACATAAATTAAACTCCCAATATAAGTATTTTTTATCCCAAATCAAAAAAATAAGAAGATAGTAAAATCCATTTATTGTGATACAAAAACATTATTATTATCGTTCTAAATAAATGACCGCACGCCTATGATACGTCATGAAATTACAAAGGACGCGCCGACCAAAGGTTTTATGCTATTTCAAGTGACTTCAGATAAAGTATACATATTTCCTGTTCCTGGACTTTTACTGCAAAACCAAAACGCGTCGTTCGTCGTATATAGAAGCCTATCCGGATTAGAATTCCGCGTCGGTGCTGTGCAAATTTAATTTGTAGCGAGTAACGCGAACGGACGGGCATATCTCGAGACTGATGATGAGAAACAGAATGTGTTTGCCAGCTCCAGGCTCCAGTTCTAGCTCGAGCTAGTCCGTCACGCTTCTCAACTCAACCAATTAAAACTAAATCACGCTCTCAAACACCATGCCAAAGACGTTGGAGCTTTGGATCA